TCCTTATCTTTAATATTTTAGGTATTTTTTGACAAGACAAAAAAAAAAAAAAAAACAATATATATATATATATATATATATATATATATATATATGTTGAATAAATTGCCTATTTTGACAAGATGAAAAAAAATAAAAAATAACCATTAAAAATTATATCTTTTGACATGAAAAAAATCTCCCAAAAAAATATATTTATTGAAGAAATAATCTCTTTTGTCAAGATCCCAAGATAATAAAAAAAAAAAGGTTCAAAAACAAGAGGATTAATATATATATATATATATATATATATATATTTATTGAATAAATTATTTATTTTCAGATTATCCATCAAAATTTACCAATAAAAAATTTACCTAAAAAATATTTGAAAAAAAGTTAACTTTGTTAAATAAATATCTCTTTGGATTGTATAAAAAAAAAAAAAAAAAAAAAAGTTTCTATGAAATAAATTATCTCTTTTGACTGACAAAAATAAAATTATTATTATGAAATAAATTATTTTATTTGAGATGATCTCCCGGAAAAAAAAAATAGTAAAGAAAGTAAAAAAGAAAAAAAAAAAAGTGTAAAATTGTAAAGATGGTAGTTATGACATTATAAATTAAGGGATGATATATTAATGAATTCAAAACTTTTTTTTTATTATTTCCTTTAAACCAAAAAGTTAAATAAAGTACAATCGAAGAAAAGTGAAGTACAATATAGCTCCTTAAATTGAATTGGTAACTTAAATGAAGCATACTAAGAACAGTTATTGGGTGCCTTTTGAACTCATTAAATACTTCTCTCCTTATTTAATGAGACACTAAAAACATGCATTTTTTAGACAAAGATATCTTTTTAAGTCTTTATTCTTTCTCTATAGTATGTATGTAGGTATATATACGAGTTAAGTGGAAAAAAACCACTTCATAATATACAAAATGTCCAATATACCCCTTGTAACTCTTACATTATACAATTTGTGCAAATAAGGACATTAGGTCAATTTAGTCATTAAAATGTCTAAAATATCCAAATAACAAAATTAAAAAATATATAATAATAAAAATCAAAATGTCTCCTCTCTCTCTCTTTTTAGGGCCTTTCATATTTGTTTGTTTCTCTATCTTTTCTTTTGCAACAATTTTCATATATTTATTGATCTTGTCATATATATATATGTGTGTTGTGTATATCATGAATTCAAACAAATAAGCTCCATGATCATAGACGAAAACTGAAGCAAATTGAGATGATGTATATATATTCAGAACATATTGAAAATACACATCTCGGGGGAATATCACTAATCTGTATATTTGAAGTTACACAAAATAAAAAGGGTCATTGATTGTCCTCTCATGTCTTTATCAGTTTCATATTTTTTATATACATATATAATCTTGAAATTTTATATTGTTTTTCAAGTAGTTTGCTTTAAAAATTATCCAAATACATAGTTTTTGATCAAAGTAGTAATTTTTTGGCAAGAATATATATATATATATATATATATATATATATATATATATTATCAAAGTAGTGATTTTCTGACTAGAGTTAATTGGTTGTTTATGCGGTGATCTTCTATATTGTAGAGAGAGAAAGAGACTTCACGAAAATATATATATATATACAGGCTAGAGAGAGAGAGAAAGAGCTGAGATAGGCGGTTTAGAGAGAGAAAGAGAGCTGAGATAGGCCGTTTAGAGAGAGAAAGTGAAAAGAGATTTTTTTCCCTATATCAACAAGGGCCTTTTGGGGTTTTTATAAAAAAATTGGTCAAAATTGATGATCAGGGAATAACTTGCTCAAACTTACTTTACTGCACTGTTTATGTACGCCAACCTTATATGTATTCTTTATATTATTATATTATATTACACTACATTATATATACACTCACACTTTAAAAGTGAAAAGAGTATTTTGTATTTAAGAGTTACAATATAATATTAAAAATAACTTACTTATAATAATACAATAATAATAATATTATTAACTTACTAAATAAGAAAATTAAGTTTTTTAATATTACATTAAAGAGTTTCAGTTGAAAATTTTAAAATCTATACAATATTTTTTTATAAATTATACGATTATTTTTATTATTATTATTATTTTTATTTTCTTTTTGCCAGTTATTTTACATGTTTTTGTCCTTTAGTTTAATTAGAACACAACTTCTATAAAAAAGTAAAGTTTTTTAACTAATTGAAACACAAACTCTACAATAATAGGTAGGTTTGATGAGTGAAGATATTAAAATAAAAAATTATCGTAATTATTATACAGACACACGTCCATATATATATATATATATAAAGACAGGAAAGGGAATAAAAGTTTTAAGGATATTTTTATCCTAAAAGATAGTCTCCCACTAGTTAAGGAAACAGGTAGAGTAATTAATAAAGTTAAAAGTGCCAATGACCCTCGCCTATTGTTCTTGAGAAATTATTAAATGTGTTGACCCTACCCATTTTTCCTAAGGGCAATTCGATACTTTTGATGATAACAAAACATTAATGATGTTCAGTGGACTAATGTTTTTATTGAAGTTCATTCCAGATCAAAAGGAACATTATAAGGTCATGAAGGAAGTACCCAATTCACTGGAGCTAAAATCACAATTGGAACATACCATCAAGATATAGCTGGCTTCAAAGATCATAAAAGCTTACCTATGGGGTAAACAGATTGGTGAGTGGCTTAGGAGCAAAATGTAAAGAGTTTGTGATCAATTGAAGCTCTTTCTAAGGTCATGCATCATTCATTCATTTCAAACCATCATATACACATTCTAAGGCATCAAGTGCATCAAGATAATGGGCTAAGACAACTCAGCAGGCTAAGTCTGAAATTCAGCTTCCTCAGTTAAGCCGAGACTCATCAAAATCAAAATACAACTCAGCCGCCTTTTTTCTTAATTCAGCCGCCTTTCTTCTCAACTCAGCCGACTGAATTAGGCCGAGGCTCCATCACTTTCAGAATCTTGAAACTACTCAACTCAGCCGTCTCTATCACTAACCAAGCCGTCTCACTCTTGAACTGAGCCGACTCAGTTCTCAACTTAGGCGACTTTGTTTATGGTCAAGTAGATCTGACCTTGAAATACTCCTTACTTCAACCTGTGCTTCTCTTTGTGCTTTTACAGTTTGACTCACATGGGTTCACTGACATATTGTGCGTCTTCTAGCTCTTGTCTTGATGTCAGCAGCCATTTTATCTATTAAAGGTTCATACACATGATTTTAAATCTCATCTGCCCTATGCACTGAGCACTTCTGTCAAACAAGGAATCTCTATCATGGGAAGCTTCTCTACCAAATGTGCCATGACAAGTCTTAATCAATAAAAGGACTTTCAACGGCTAAGTCAAGGGCTTACAACGGTTATGGTCTATGAAAGAGCTCTATATATGTTATGAGAAACAAGCTGTAAACGGGAAGTCTCTGAGCCTCATTTTCAACAAGTGATTCATATCATCTTACTGAGAAAGAAAGTTTGGCTACCCTCCACTCTTTAATCCTCAAAGCTAAACTTCAGATTCTTCTTTCACACATACATCAATTAGAGAGAGTGAGCTTCATTTGTATCATTGGATTATCTAGAAAGAGTGAACTGTAAACGTGAGAGAAAGGTTGTTGTAACACACTTATTCATTTCCTTGTAAGATTAGGAGAAAAAATTCTCTTAGTCCAATTACTGTAAGGGCTGGTTTGGCCCTTAAGATTTTGAGAGAGAGTCTCTCAGCAGGAAGAAACTGTTTCTTTCAAGGTTTGCTCTCCACCCGTAAGGAGGAGCCATATTGGATTGGGAAGTCTCAAGAGGGGACTTGAGCCGAGGAGTAGGAGCTTCTGAACCTCGCTAAAATCGCCGTGTTTATATTTGCAATATCTCTATCTCTCCTCTTTACATTATTGCTTACATTTATATGCTAATTTATCTAACTTGATTCTGTTATCTCACTATTGCATATCTGCTTACCCCCCCCCCCCCCCCCCCCCCCCGAGTCCATTCTTGGGCAACAAAATGGTTCTCAACCATTAATATTTAGTGGACCAATTAAATATAAACTTTTGAATTAAGAAAATGGCTTCACAAGAGTGTATTAATAAATTACAAATTTTTATGATTGAAGGGTTTTATTAAATTAGTCCATCAAGTGTCAAATAAATCAGGACCATCTAATAATTTCATATTGGATATACCTTACCCTATAAAGTAAATAACAATTGGGTATACAAAGTGTGTGTGTATATATATATATATATATATGCATATATGTGTGTGTGTGTGAAAAGATTATGTTAAGGTCATCCACACACAAGGTTGGTTTAAAAGGGATGAGTATTGTCACATTTAGAAAGAAAAATGGGAGACTAATGCTTGTCTTAGACAACATAAGATGATGTGGTGGCCTAATAAAATGGATACTTCATTTTTAATAACTAATGGATACTTTATTTTTAATTATTAAATCAGAGATGATAGAGTACATACTTACTTATCAAATCGAAAATTATAAAATATATTTCAGTAATTAAAAAGAATTTATTTATTTGTTATTGATCTACTCAGTGTACATCCTCATCAGTGATGACTTAAATATTGATCCTTTTGTCACAATAAAAAAATGAAAAGTGTATATTTTTTTTATTGAACGAACCTACAGCCCCAGTTGGGAGAAACTCTAAAGCCCTGTATATAATATGCTATATATATTATTTGTCATTTTATATGCAATTGATGAAAAAAATAATTAAAAATATAACTTTCATAGTGGTTTATGATGTATAGTATTCGAATATTCAATTATATCATTTTTTTTTCTTCAAATTATTATTATTTTATCTTAATTATTTTACTCCTATTGGTCAACCGTTTGTCCCATGCTTGGATCAAAGCTATCCAAGCTGGTGTGGATATTTCAACCCGTAAACAAACAGTATCAAAAGCAATCCCAGCAAAAGTACCAGTTAACAAACACAAACCATGACTACCCAAGGTTGGCGCACTTTAGTGGCATCATAATTCACAGCAATGAAGGGGCTGAAAACGCACCTCCATCTCTCTCCTCAAACTCACACAGTCGTCAATGGCTGGGCGAACTAAACAAGCAATTGAACCCTAAGCCCCTTCCTTCCATGGCCTCTTCGTCGTCGTCGTCTCGTTTTAGTTACAAAAAGATCTCTATGTTCGTTTCGATCGTTTTGATTATAAATATTGTCGTTCTGCTGAGCAAATCGTCGAACATGTGGAGCATAGTTGGAATCAATGCCCATTCCAACAATCTTTACTCCATCGAAGTAGTCAACGAGTTCCCTCACGACCCCAAACCCACTCAGGTCCAATCTTCGTTTCAAATCTCGATTTTTATATTAATTTTGTTTATGCTTAATGACTTCACCATATAGAACTTTCGTGTTTGGATCAATCAAGAAACACTATTTTCCTTTTATTTTTTTATAATTATTTATTTATTTATTTTGGTTAAATTAAGCCTAACTTCGAAAATGTTTTTTTGTTTTTGTTTTTGTTTGGGTATTGAAGTGTTTGGAGATTATTTTACTCTACAATTGTGAAGTTTTAGTTACTTATCTAAATTGATTGTATCGGTGAACTCCTCATGAAGTAGAACTTGGGCAGTTTCTTCATTTCATTGTGAAGAACCCTATTAGAGGACTCGAAACACGTTCTATAATTAATTATTTATTAAGACTGAAGGAGATTAGAAAATGATAATAACAATTGGATTCAAGTTGGGAAAAATTATCTCTGTCGGTTTTTGCTAATAACAAGGACTGTAACAGATGTCTTCTTCCTTTTGCATGTGTCATTGGCATGGTCATGGAAATTAGTTCTCTATTTTGATGGGATTGAGAACTTCATACAAAATATCAAAGTAAATTTATTTGATTGTTCCATCAATTAATTTGTTGGAGCGTATTGTACCATGCATTTAGCATGTGTACACTTCTGTAGATTATCAATATGGATGGTTGTTTGCTTTCAGGGGCTTCTTTACGGAGGAAACGATACCCTACTTGAGTCAACGGGGCTTTACAGGCAGGTTACTTTTCAACATTGTTGTATTGTTTATTTTTCTCCAATTTTGTCATTCTTTAGAATAATGATGATATTAACACATTTTAGCTGCAAGTTATGATATAATTTCAGTTTAACATTATAGAATTCTAAATATAAATTCTGTCCACGATTTGATGTTATTGCCCCCATTTCCAGTGCCGTCAAATTTTTTTTTCCTTTCATTTTATATGAAATGTTTAAAATTTAGTATTTTGTTGATATCTGCGCTAGTAATTTTCCTTTACATCTGTCCATGCAATTCATGACTTGACATTTTTATTTTTGTCATCCCAGTCAACAGTCCGTAAAGTAGCTATTCAAACCGGGAAGGTAAATATCTTTAGTATTCATACTCTTATAAGGACACCTTAACTTATTCAAAATCTTCTCATCTTTCACCTTGTATCTGCCATTAGTTTACTTGGCTGCAGTTAATAATTGTAATTTTTTCAGAAATGTACTGTTCTTTTGGTTTGTATAACCAAAGTTAGAAAAAGACCTAGGGCAATATGCAATACATTTAAATATACCTATTTATTTCCTCTTATTTTCACAGGTTGAGGCACTTCAAAAAATGGATGATTCTCAATTTGGAGAGGGTTTAACTCTTCCTGGTGAAAGGTTTGTAAGGAAAATGTATTCGTGGCAGTTCATTTATTCTTTCTGATTTAGCAAATAAGGAATTGAAGATACAGAACAAAATAAATAGAAAATCAAATTTTTTTTTTTCCTTTGTAACTTAGCGGTATCTCATCTGGAACAAATTGTATAATGTTATCTGAATCATTTCTGATGTTATATTAATTGATTACTGATGTGGCAACGTAGTCTTTCTCTAAATTTTGCATTTATTAATATGGTATTACCTACCATGGCATTCAATCATAGTTTTATTTGTACAATGAATTTATGCGGCTTCCTGTTAGTTATTGCCTATTGGATATTTAGTTTCTGTGTTTACAGTTGCATTTTCATTGAAACCTCTTATCCTAGTTAATTTTGACCAGTGTTTAGATTTTAGATAATTTTCATGGTGATGATCTCAAGCCATGAAAACCCTTTATTGCGTGATGCACTGTTGGTTAATGGGCAAGGCACTAATATATAGTAGGCTGATATGTAGAATATCATTATGATATTTCAACAAGTTAAACTGTTTGAAAGGCTACGTGATTCCACAATTTAAAAATTCATTTATTGGTTATAATATTTAAACAAGGTAATAAAGATACATAAGTAAAGTAATAAAGTAAAGTTTTTAGCTAATAGAATGGATTTATGGAGAAAAAAATAAAAGAGGAAGAGGACAATACTAAAAACTGACCATAGCCTTTTCCTTCTCGCTAGATATTTGGGGTTTTCAATCTTTTTTATCACTAGCATTTAGCTTTACTGATATCTCGTTATTGCGGAAGTGCCAAGTGAAATGTGTGGTGCAAAAGTCAAGGTTTTTGCGTGGGGGTTTCCCCACTCTAGTTTTCATATTGTCTTCTCTTAGAAGAGAAACATCATGGATCTTTTGGACATGAGTTCATCATATATCATGCTCTGTATGTGTCTCCTCATGTTGAAATATTTCCTACAATTAGTTGGTGTATCCATTTAGCCACACCATCTTGTCACAATCACTAGCTATTACTTGTCTCCTTTTTGGAACAGTGCTAGGAGGAGGAAAGAGAATAATAACCTTGGGATGGAAAATAATATTTGCGCTTTACTTTGTACTCTTTTACCCCACTTTGTTTGTTCAAAATTGGAAATAACACAATTATTCTTCAAAGGTACTCTCACGCTCCACAGTTATTCTCTCCCCCAAGGCGGTCTCAGCTTTCACCCTATTGTGTTCTTTTGGGATCTACATTATCCTATATATGATGAATTCATTTCCGTCACCAGACCCAGGCATTCATGTTTTAACAATCGTGCCAGGGAAATTTCATGTTTACACTCAGGTCAACCGCCATTGGTGACCATCCTGCAGCCTGAGCTGTAAGCAAGTATTATGGCATCCATTCATTGACCAATATCTTATGATTTAGCAACCAGTATTAGCACCCAGTAAATCAATTAACTTGAAAAAATAGAGTAAAATTAGGCTCTCATTTTGCAAATGCTATTAGCTCTGCATAATTGTGTCTTACTATTCCACACCCATGCCACAATGCCCACTGCTGGCAATAATGCCACTGATCGTGGCACATTACTAGTCTGCAATAGACAATATGTCAGTACCATTAGTCACCATCATACTGAGCCCACCCACTGATAAACCCTACTCGCTAATTGATACACCATTGCATTTGCTACCATCTCCAGCCAAGGCTCCAACTGGTCATGTTATGCTCTGAAGTAGGATCCCCACTCACAAAAAAGATCAAACTCACTATCCACCTTGTTAGATCTCAGTATTTGTTCTTATTTGATTTGGATCACGATAAAACCCTAGCCCGAGGTGTACCTTGCTCTAAAATTCTAAGGTTCAATGGCAAGAATCCCATTTCTCATAACTCATAAGCGCGTGGCTTTTTTCATCAAGTTAGTTTGATTCCATAGGAATAACAGATTTTTTCTTTTTTCTTTTTCGTGAATCCACTCTCTAACCTCCAATATTAGTTCTTTGATCAGCTTGCCATTTCTACTTCAAAAAGGCTCAACGCCACCAGGCATATTACTGCAATCATGGAGGCACACTTTGAGGAATGCATGGTTATAAATATATAGGCTCTCCTAAAATTATTCTCCTATAGCTATCGTCAGATTTGTCACCCATCTTCTGCTCTCTTGAACTATAAATGAAGATGCTTTCCTATGTCATGGAAGAACCTTTTTGGAACATTACTAGAAGGAAAGGAGAACAACAACGACATTGAGTTTCCTCTGGATTTTCTCCTAAAGCTACCTCTGCTTTCACGTAGCTGTTAATTTGTTCTCCTGGGACCTCCATTATCTTGTTTGTGATATTATCATATTAGCATCTCCATTACTAGACCCAGTTACCCTGGCAAGGTTCAAGTCCCTCTTGGAAACACGGTGAGTGTGTCTGTTGACTCTGTTCTATACTTGTAGAAAACTATCTATTTCTATCAATGAAGTGGCCATAGAGTTCTGAAGTTGAAGAACTTCTACAACAGTATCTGTGTTTTTTGTAACAGCGTTAATATTCAGAAGAATCCTCAGTTCTGATATAGTATTCTTATGTACTTTTGTAGGTTGTATCAAGTAACTTGGTTGAAGAAAACTGGTTTCATATATGATCGATATAATTTAAGCAAAGTTTGTGCTTAACTTTTTCCTTTAATTCATTGTTTATATTTTTTTTGTTTGTGGTGTGTTCTATGGTTTCTTGTTTTTTGTGTGCTTTTGGTTGAATTCTTAAAGGGTGTTTTATTTTTTCATTTCATGATATTGTGAGTAGAATGTTGAAGAAGAAACTACCAAACTTTCTTACCTTTTTTGTTTGACTGTCTAGAGCTTCCATATATTTTACCTGAACTGGTTTCACTTTTGCATTTGATATGTATGCTTAGAGTTTAACTTTATTCACACTAGCAATTCAAATTTCATGCATCATCAAATTCCTTGATTTAAATCCTCTGCAGTGGCTGAAATTTAATCCAAAGATGGAGGTTGTAAAAACCTAGGTGAAATGCCTATAGGATAAAAGTGTTCAATCTTGCCATATTCCCTAACTTATGAACATGGACACATGTCTCCTTCTGATGTAAACACAACTGTTTGACTAGTGTCATGTTGACAAATGACCAACCCTTTAATTGTTGGAAGGGAGTAATGCCCAATATACTGTTGATAATAGTAACTGCAATTTTCCAGGTTTCTACCCTTCTGCTTAGTATAAAGTGATTTGGATTGCACCATACAGTATCTTGATCTGTTGCTTGAAGTTCAAATTTCAGATTTTTGTTTTTATTGAATGAGTGGGAATCATTATTTATGTGGTCCATGAAAAAGAGGAAAACACTACTATGTGAACAGAAAATTGAACTCAGGCATCAGATTGAAAAGTTAATATGATCAAAAAGCTGTGTTGCATGGGTGTGGACAAAGACATGGGGTATGGATTTGACACAATAGGGACATGATAAAGAAAAAAAGAAAGAGAGTCGAATTAGGATATTGTCACACAGTTGTGCAACGGAAAAACAAGTGAATTTAGAACGTGTTTCTTTGCAATCAAATGGAGCATATAACAGGGACTATGAAGGTCTAGATCTTACTTTTAGGGTAAATGGAATATATATGTTTTCTGTTCAATTAAACCTTTTTGATTCACTGTTTTCTTTATTTAGCAATTACTTAATATAACTCCATTTTCATAATCCAATGTTCCCACAGTTGTAGGATTGACGTGTTCTTCTTCACCTCCCATTGACTAAACAGTTTAGTTCTTCTAGGAATGTTCTTCCCGGCTGAGTTTCTTTTGGGTTCTTTATCAGTTGCTGGTCTGGATCTGTGATAATTTTCACGCTTATTACTGGCTGCAGTTGGATAAATTTACTCATCAGATGCAAGATGGTTGGGGGCTAGCAACTGATGGGAAAGTTTTGTTTGGAACTGATGGAACTTCAATGTTGTATCAGATTGACCCTCAGACATTTAAAGGTTTCTATGGAACAAAGTTAATAATCATGCCCAATTTCTTGTCCTTTCTTCTTCTTCTTCTTTTGGTGTGTTATAGCTATTCTATGTGCATATTGCTGAATCTAAATCTTTTATCATTATGCAGTCATTGGAAAAAGAACTATCCGGTACAAAGGGCATGAAGTGCATAACCTCAATGAACTAGAATATGTAAATGGTGAAGTTTGGGCAAATGTATGGCAGGTACAAGAATGAATGCTAGTTTTGCTCATCTATTTTAGTTGTTTAATGTTTTGTTACTTTGGGTAGCCTGTGTACAGCATCTTGGTGAAGACGTTAGCATACTATTTGGTCGGTGAGGTTTCATTCCTTTGCCTTGGGAAAGTTGTGATAGAGCGTCATAATAAAAAAAATCACAATTTTGGAAATAGAAATTTTCATAAAGAGCTTTAATAGGAGTGAGGACCTGACTATATAAAAGTACCCAACAGCTGTTTTTCTTTTATAAATCCTGATTTATGTTTCTCTTTCATGTACTAAAGAATTGGATGGCATTCAAAAAGGAAGCCTATGTAGTTCTTTGAGTTTTTTATTTTTTATTTTTAAAATTCCCTGGCATGTCTTGAATTTACTCTTGAGGGCTTGATCATAATAATGGATCTGAGTTTGGTTGAAAGTAAATCTATTGCTGATCAATGTTTAGCTTATTATTGAGTGCTAGATTAATGAGTTGTTGTGTTCACTTGTAATGCCAAAACTGATCAGTAGTAGATAATTTGATTGATTCCCCTGGATAGGTTTTTATTTGTATGGCTGTTACAGTAGTTCTTTAAAGCATGCGAAGATTGCTTAGATATTCTTTATTAAAATGTTTTGCCAAATTTATATATAAAATCTCTGTTTCCGATGCATTGGGTTGCTGGTTTAGATTTGGTTGCTGGTTTTGATGATTAGATCTAATTTCATTGCAGAGGCCAAAACTGAACAACTTGAGGAACCACCTTCCTAACATATGTTTAGTGGTTTTTGAGGCTGTAGCTCCAGTAATCAATTATTATTTTTATTTCTTACACATGTTCTCTCTTTCTTTGAATTAATCCCTCATCCCTTGTATGTCCTGGATCTGCTAGTAACTCTTTTCCAAAAACTTTTTCTTGCATGAAAGATGGTCTTGTGCATGTGTGGTTCCTAGATTGAGTGATTCATACAGTAAGAATTTTCATCCGGTGATGTGGATAATTGCTGCAACAGAAGAAATTTACATAGCTGCAATTATGTATCTTTTCTTTTGTTGGTACTATGAGCCTGACTTGTTCAATGAATTATGAGTTTTGCTTTCATTTGTTGTTCTCTTTGCAGGCAAGAATCTTAGCACTGAATTCATCATATATCCTCACTGCAAGTTAATGAGGAAATTATAGCAGATATATAGCAGCGGTCTAAATAAACAGCTGCGGCAGCCCCTTTATGCCAGCATTTTTCTCTAACCTACGAACAAACAGAGTCAGAGAGACATTCTAAGAGATAATGTGACCGCCACTCGAACTATTTTATTAATTTTTCCCCAATTACCCAAAGTACTATTCGGTGAAACTTATCTTTCCTGGACTACACTCCTCTCAGACTATGCGCAAAGCTATTCAAACCCAAAACGAACAATCATCTATCTCTTAGAATGTCTCTCTAACTCTATCTTCTCTCATAGATTACTCTTATTCCTCTCTTGCAGTCATTCTCTCTAGCTCTCTCTTCTCTCACTTTGTATTTATATAGAGATTGCATTGAAATACGTAGTCCTGTAACTAGAAAATCAGTGTCAACTCTCTCTCTCTACATATAAGCATATTATACATATATAAATATGTGTGTATTAGAGCTGACTGATTTATCAGCATGTACTGAACTCTGTTTCTCTTAAAAATATATTTGACATACCTGTGCTGTTAGGGCTAAAAGTAATCATTGCATGTAGTCGATTATGAAGCATAAGCAGCTATTGGAGCTCAAATGGGAATCTAAAGCTGCTATTGAAGCTGAATTATGTTTGATTGGGACTCGGCTATTGAAGTTCTCATCAATGCATGTGTTTGATTTGGGCCAACTGATTTCCTGCGGGCAATAAGGTTAGAAATTTTGATTTCCTGCACATGATTTTCTATTTCTCTGTTTGGTTGTTTTGAAATGAAATGGAAATTGTTCTTGATCATGTTTATGGTTTTTGTTTGAGCACTTTTCATTTGAAGAGTTGAAAGAGAAAGATTGAGCATGGTTTTTGTATGAACTCTTTGCATTTGAAGAGTTGAAAGAGAAAGATTGAGATAAAAAAATAATTGATCTGGTTTTCCTTTATATTTATTGTAATTTACACTATCATACAGACAACACATATTTAATTTAATGTATGTAGTATAGGTTGGATAGCAAAGTTCTTCAAACAAGTGCAACATTTATCATTCAATTTTTATAGCTTTAGTGTGAATATGGTTATATTAGGAGTTATCAATCTCAGTAGAAAATTTATCTCATCATACATGACTCTTAAGAGTTGAAAGAGAGAGATTGACGGGGAAAAAATGATTGATCTGGTTTTCCCTTTATGTTTGTTGTAATTTACACTATCATACAGACATATTTCAATTAATATATGTAGTATAAACAAATGCCACATTTATCTCATCATACATGACTTTACAACACGTGTTTTGATGCTTTGGAATAATGCCAAGGACTTTCAGAAGTTATTCCGATGGTGAAGATAATAGACATTTTGTTAGGATAGAATTTAATAATAGTTAGAAGCATACACCAAGGAAGCTTAGTGGCCTGCAGGTCATAACAGAACCATTGGTTTGGCATGGTTTCTAAATCCTGTTTTGTTGCACATATTTGGCAGAATTTTCCAGTTTTGTATCTAATAAGAGAATAATTACAACTTCTTGAGCTGCCTTAAAAGGTGTCGTGTGGACACAGACTATTTTCGGATTTGGTTTAGTAATGCCCTTCTTTTTATCTGTTTCAGCTACCAGGGTAAGTTTTTCTGCAGGGGTCAAATGCCTCTGTATATGATTGTTATTGCAGCTTATAAACACCCTGATGTGAAATCAGCTTATAACAATGTAATCTGATCAGTTGTGTTTCACAAAGTAAGTGTTCTTACCTGATGTCGATTTTTGAAAGCACCGATTCGATTGTTAGTGATAAATCTTAATAACTGATATTCTGCCTTTTTTTATTTATACTATTCTTATCTTCTAGAAATTGGTTAAGTGATTCTTATTTTGGTGTAAACTTGATACAGACACTCAGAAAATGCAACAATTATCATTTATTTCGGTGAATAAATTTTGTTCTCTCTCTTGGACTATAAGCAAGTCTCCATTTATTGGATTCTGCAATTGCATGTTGGCATGAGTTTTAGCCTTTTACTACCAATGGAAAAAATAATTATGAGTATGCTTAACACAATTACGGACTCCACTAATTTGAGCTTTTTGTGGTCATGGTAATTTCAGAACTTTTCCTTTATTGGTAAATTAGATAAAAGAAGGAAAAAAGTTAAGTACTTGTGACCATTCAAATTTAAGTATATAGGTTCTTCCTCCCCTGTAATTTAGCTGAGGCCTAAACTAAAATTTCGAAATGCAAGCTATCTTTCAAAAATTTATAAACTTAACAACCAAAGGGCCTCTAGCCCACTGGTATGCTCTCTTTCAACAACCCCAATCCCCGAGAAGGGGAAGTTGTGAGTCCCACTAGGGACATATTGCGGATAACGAATGAGTTTTTGCTTCAACTTCAAAAAAAAAAAACAATGAAAATATGCACTTAATAAATTGAATGACAGAACTATTGTTAGCTTTTAATTTTATTTATTTTCGTTTTTTTGGTATTCTATTTTCAGGTTGCTTGAAGAATATGATAACACATGCAGAATGGTTGTCTAGAATTTTATGATCTTTTTCTATTTCCTTATGGTTTAATGTTTATGTTAAGGATGCATGGCAGTTAAAATACTTTATAAGGTTAAGTGCAAATAACCCCTCCTTATATATAAAATGTGCAAAAAACACCCCTACTAGTTAATAAGTGCATATAAATCCCCATATTTTCAAAGTTTGGAGCAAATTGCCCCCTATTTGTCAATTTTGACCCCCTTTTTTTTTATTTATAAAATTCCCAAAAATGCCCTCACTGCTGATGTCAGCAAAAAAGTTAAATAATTAAATAACTCATAGGCCTCGATTTACTTTCTGTCTATATATATATATATATAATATATATCCCTCTCCCAATTCTCTCTCCTGACCACCTACTGCCGCCACCTCCCCCCACCACTTCCTCCACCACCATGAACATCATCCATTAACAGTACCACCCACCGCCCAGCTCCAACCCACTGCCCAATGTTACTCCTTTGAGACGTCTTTGTGGTGGGTTTGGCCATCACCTTTGCTTCCTTTGGTAAGCTTGATTGGCACCTGCTTCACCACTGCCTCTGTCGACCTTATGCTGAGATTGCAAACTTAGTGATTCAACTAAATGTCCATAGACCATGAAACCTAATCACTGAATAAAGAAAGCAATTGGAACCTCCCAAATAATCAATTAAAAATGAACCTTCTTTACCCCTCAAAGGACTACTGAGAACATTCTAGAGCATAATCGGTTATCAACTTATCATATAGACTAAAATGAAACAATTAGATAGACACATTAATTCTATTGCAAAACTATAAGATATGGACACATTAATTCATCCGAGACTTAAAGTAATCGGTTTATGGACTATAAGATATGGATATATGGACGTTAAGTAATCGGGTTCACATCTGGATGAAAGATCTACTCATTGGTAACTATGGTGGCTCCATGGATTCCCGTGGCTATGGCGTCCATTGATTCTGGCAGCAATTCGCTGGTGGTTGTGAGGTGGGAATGGTGGTGATGATGATGGGGATGGTGGTGCGGTGGCGGCCGTGGTTGTGGTGATGTTGCCGTCTCTGGTTCTGTTGACGTTGCACCGCTGATTGTGGTGACGGGTAAACACAGAGATCTGGGGAAGAAGGGTTGGTTTTTGAAATTACTTATATGTCTATATTTTTAATGATGTGGCAGGTTCTATTGGGGCTTTTTTTGTCCAATTAAAATGGAGACAAGATTATCATCCCGTGAAGGTGGGGATGTTAGCTTTCCCCTATATTTATATATATTGTTGACCTTAAGGATTTCATCAAGGACAACTAGTTATTTTGATGATTACAAACCATTAATTGCACATTTTGTATATAATGAGGGTTTTTTTTTGCACTTAACCCTACTTTATATTACATATTTTGGGATAATTGCACCCTAATTTGAATTTCCTTGAACTTGTTGGGAACTGAGTTTATATCATTTTGAAATTTAATGTTTGAATAGACATCATGTTACCCTGTTAGTAGGGCTTCAATGTTTTTAATTATATTTGATCATTTGAGTGGACATCAAACTAAGAAGTTTCTAGATTCATTTCAGTAATCATCTTTTTAGTTTGTGCCAGTAACATGTCAACCAGCTACTGTTATATATATATTATTTTCATTTTGGTAATTATTATTTTTTATTTTTGTATTGATGATTCAGCATTTTTTTTTATCCCCATTTGTAGACATTGAACCAGACATTTTTAAATCTTTCGAAGGGGACAGTGGACGCCATGTTGTGTTGTTGGAGCCTACTGCGTGCCAAAGAAACAAAACTTGCTACATAGCCAATTTGTACTTCCTTGCCTTTGCAGTAGAGAGGATTTTAATTCATTAATTAAGAGGGAGAGGTCCTTCATCTTACTGAAATAATAATAGGATAGTAGGATAATAGTACTTTTAATTGGTGAATTCTAATATATATATATTTTTTTCACAAGTGGTGAATTCTAATTATTGTTTACACGGTGGGCATATAAGCATGTATTAGAGTTGATTTAGCAGCATGTAAAAACCTCTCAATCTCCCATCGAAATATATTTGACATATATGTGTTGTTAGCGCTAAATAAATAAAAGCATGTCGTTGATTAGGAATCATAAGCAGCTATTGGAACTCAAATGTGTTTGTTCGATTAGGGCTTATGGAGAAATTTTGATCTCCTGCAGATAGATGATTTTCTATTTCTTTGCTTGGTTGTTGTGAAATGAAATGGAACTTGTGCTAGATGATTTTTTTGGCTTTTGTAAGAACTCTTTGCATAGAGAAAAGAAATTTGGCTTTCCTTGATGTTTATTGTAATTTACACAATACTCTTGTATAGGTTGGATAGCAGAGTTCTTCAAACAAGTGCAACATTTATCATTCAATTTTTTTAGCTTAGCGTGAATATGGTTATATTAGGAGTTATTTATCTTGGAAGAAAATTTATCTCATCATACATGAATGAGCAAAAGATAAATACATTGTCAGGTTCTGCTTCAATTCAGTATGGAGTCACTTCAGAAAATCATCTCCCATGAAAGACAGGCAGACTAGCAGCATACTTTAGCAATTGTATGATTCAAATTGAATGGTTGATGACGGACCTTCACAAGTGTAGTTGTAGTTGACGTTTGTAATCAATGCTGGTGGTAACAACCATTTTTGTATAAGAACCTTAGTTCAGTTATTTTTGTGCAAAGCATTGTAATTTTGGTCTTAAGGACCTTAGTCATGTAATCTTGACTCGTTGAACTCTTGGTATAATTTTGGGCATGTAAATGACGATAATGATGACTATGTTCATGTTAAAACCAATTATGCAAGTTTTGAAATGAATTGATGTCGATGTTATTTTTGAGAGAAGATGCATGACGTCGTTAGGTACTTTTAAATCCGTATCCGCGAGTTGGGACAAGTATTCTAAGGTCTAATTGACCATATTATACCCCGGGATTAAGTACCAAGCCATGGGAGTAAGAATGAAAAATTGCAAATTTCAATTTTGGGAGTCACTTGAGAAAATCATCTCCTATGAAAGACAGGCAGACCTGTAGCATACTTCAGCAATTGTATGATTAAAATTGTTTGGAAAGTTTTTTTTAAGGGAATTGGGGGGCAAAATGAATTCATTTTGTCAACTGAGATTATGGTTCCAGTCCAAGTAAACAAGCAAATGAAGAAGTGAAATGCATTTTGGGAAGGGATGATTGGCTGCAAGAAGGGTAGACATCAGTTTCACGCTTGTCAAGTTTGTATTTTGTTGTGTGTAACTTGTTCTGGTGATTGTAATTTATGGTGTAATGATCCAGACATGATCTGAGAGCAATGAGCCTTCTTTTTCAATTGAAACAAGCATTGAAAATATAGATTGGCTGCAAGAAGGGTAAACATCAGTTTCAGGCTTGTCAAGTTTGTATTTTGTTGTGTAACTTGCTCTGGTGATTGTAATTTATGGTGTAATGATATAGACATGATCTGAGAGCAATGAACCTTCTTTTTCAATTGAAACAAGCATTGAAAATATAGAGCAATAATGAATGAGAACACCATTTGCCCGGCAAGTAGCCATAATCAAAAGTTAAAACTGTCATATCGAACAACAGAACAATAAAAGCTAAGTTAATAATCAAAAGTTAAAACTGTCATATATAACAAAAAGACAATAGAAACTAAGTTAAAACAGTCAAGCATAACAATAACAACAGAAACTCCCGGTGTTCCACCACCTCTGGTTCATTTCTGAATTTGACGTTACATGTGGTATACTCCGGATCATTTCTGTATATTGTGGCTTGATGATTCACCAAAGCCGAATGTATGCCACACAATTTGTTACAGAGGTTGCAAGAAAATGCTTCCAACCTTTGCGGCCCGAGTACATACACACATTCTAGGGTTCTCTACATTGTGAACCACTATGTAACCAAAACAATTCTTGCAGACTTTGTTTGGCATCTTTTTGACCTGCGATATCAAATGACTACACAACTCAATCTATATGTCTAGAAATCCAAATATTGTTCCTTCACAATTTTTCAGAGGCCTACGTCCATCAACATAAAACATAAACATAATAATTAACCAAATTAATTACAAACTAATCTTGATATTTTTTTCAAGATTAGGGTACTGGAATTTGATTAATACGTAGATGCATACGTATAAATGTAGTATATAAAATATGAAGATTTGATTAAATGAATAACGTATATATAAACAAGAAAACAAACAATAACATATATGGAAAACAAAGGAAAAGAAAGATGGGATTATAGAAACAACACACACACACACATATATATATGCATCGAGAAACAAGAAGATAAAATTAAATATGGCTCACAAATGAAAGATTGAAAGGAAAAGGTAATGAGAGACAACCCATGCAAACTTGCTTGAATCCAATGTGAGAGTAAACTGGATGGCTTTGAGAATTAGAGATAACTTCCAAACAAAGACCCTTGGTAGTTGATTCATTATCACTAGGTTGAGGAAATCATTAACTTCTTGACCCAAATTTCATTCTTCACTTAATTCAAAGAAAGTAGTCAAATTTAGTTAGAAGCTGCCCCCAAACACACACAATCCACTCGACATTAAACAAACTATATGATCATGAATCCCAACATAAGATGAGTCTGACAAGATAAAAGACACAACTACATGACAATTTTTTTATTCTTTAAAAAGGACAAGAATACGAGAGTGACACGTCATAAATTCACAAAGAAAAATAATAGTAATAAAGAAATTTGGGTAAATAAAGAAAAATAATTCTGTACAACTTTCAAAATATCTCAATCCTTATTTTTAAAATATCTCAGTCAACTGTCACACATTTTAAGGTTGTGCTTAGAATTAAAACCATACAAGTCACAATGTAAAGTGCTGGATCCTTTCAATGCTTCTAACGTTTCCTATAACAGAATATGAGGGGAGTCAAATTAAAAAATATTCATAAAAAATTCATAAAAAATTATACCTTGCCAAACTTTGGTCAAATTTTTTTTGTTTTTTTAAATGATCTATATCTAGTCAAATATGACATAAATATGTACAAAAATAAACCAAAAAAGCCAAATATGTACTACAAAAGCTAAGTTGAACAATTTTGAGACAATAACAATCTTCTATTATGGAATTTGAACTAAAAGTCTCAACAATTAAGCCAAAATTTGAAGAACTGTCAAGTAAACCAATTAGACTTCTAATCAATAAACAAATACGAAATTCTTGTAGTAATTCCACAAATCAATAATCAAGCAAAACCCAAAACAGATCATGTGTAATATCACGTGAACACATCTTGTGTGTGTGTGTATATATGTATATAGTAAACAATATGAAATTGAAGAGATTTATCTTGTGTTCTTCTACAGGAACTCCTAATCCCCAAATCAACATAAAGTCAACAAGCAAATTCATCATTTCTAAATGTAAACTAATCTTTTTTTATATCAATAATCTTGAATTAAAGCATTTCCAAAAAGGAACAAAACATCCAGAAAAAGAAATTGATATACATGTAATTTTGTGTGTGTGTGAATATTTACACACATATATACACACACATCGTAGAAAATAGATCAGACAAAAAACAACAACTGTTAGTCTGTTTATTTTTTTTATTTTTTAGATTTTTAATGTACTGAAACAACAAATGAAACCATTTTGGGGAGGAAAGAGAGTGAGTGGGAAAAAATTTAAGAAAAGAGAAAAGATTCTCAGTGTTATACATACACACACACACACACACAGAAACAACCAATGGAACCCACTTTTGTCCCCAAAAAAAAATAAATAATAAATAAAGAGGAAGCCTATAAGGCCTATTCCAAAAAATTTCTCATGAGTCCACAGAATTTACAATATAGTCTGACAAGTGACAAAAAAAAAAAAAAAAAACAATCATCCCAATTAACCAGATTTATGGCAGTTCATTAAACTAAAAAAATCTATAAATCTAGAACCCAAGAATGATGAATGTAATAGGCCTCATGAAAATGCCACTCTTCTTAGCTACAAAGCTTATCACTACAACAAATACTTCTTACTGAGAAATGAACATAAATGAACCACATCAACTAGTAGTAACAAGTGTCTCCAGAGAATAGCAGCGAGGAAGGCAACAAAATCAAAATGAGCCAGGAAGGCATACCATGAAAAGACCTTCTATGAGGTTACGAACGAGACTTCGATCTCCGGTTTCTCTAAGCAGAGTAAGCTCTCTTCAGGTTGTGCTTAGAACCTGCCCAGCCACCGGGAGAGACGTACTGAAGAGAAGGGTTTAGTGCAGCAAAGATAGGGTGAGGAAGGGTAGTGTGTGTGTGTGTATATATAATGGTAGACAGATTGATAATATATATATCTATTATACGTGTGTATAAATGAAGTTCTCTGCCCAGCCCCTGTTTTGCAGCTGTAGTGTGCTGTGCAGAGTAAATAACAGGTTCGGAACAAGAAACATGTCTACTACTCTCAATTAACTGGAGTTAAAAATAAACCACACATGTAGGTTGGTTAGTATATAAGAAGGCCGGGTGCATATAATAGCAAGTAATAGAGTTTATATCTTGATTTGTTTTGCTTGAAACATAGTATAAGTTATAAAAAAAATTAAGTAATAACTTAGAGCATGGTAGTGAATGAAGAGATAATAATATGAGCAAAGAAATACATATTAATAGAGCATGCTTAGTGAATTTGACTATTAGGTCCTGGGTAATTAAATATATTTTGAAGGTTATTTTAGTATATAATGTATTATCTTCAATTTTCTATGCACCCTATCATTCAAGTTTTCACCGGCAAAGTGGACAAAATTGTGATGTAATGGGGGAATTCACATTTACATATGGTCAAAAGGTAAAAAAGGTGATGACAACGAGGCCCTGAACTTATTATTAACTCTTGAGCTAATAATAGATAGCTTTGCTGGTGGGTTTCGTTTCTTCACGCCCTAAACTTACTACTGTGGGAAAAACTTATCAAAGCATTCGCTAGAGGTCCTTAAATATTTATAAATTTATTGAAAAGTGTTGCTCAATATGACAATGATGTGCCCTTCCACTACGAATCCCAAGGAACAATGCCATTTCATATGTAGACTCATCACATGAAGAGAGAGAAAGAGTGCGTGTGAGAGAGAGAGAGAGAGAGAGAGAGTGTTTTTAGCCTTAGATTATGATTTTCCAGTGCTTCAATTCATAAAAGAAGGAAAATGATAAGTCACTGAATGATTTCTTTGGATAAGTTTTGAATTTTATATGTTTTTGTCCATCTCATCTACTTAAATAGTTTTTAAAAAATAATTATTTAACAAGTGATAAGTATAATCAATCATATCAAATTCGGTATTAATTCGGTTCTCCTATCATTATTCATAAAAAAAAAGAGTTGTTACAAGAGATCATTAACGTTTTTAATTCGGATGTTATGATTTTTTTTTTTAGAAGCATGTTGCGGTAATAAATATGTTTGTTTTAATATTTGATTTTTTTTTTTTTTTCAGGAGTTTACTTCGATCACCGGTTGGATATAGAGGTTGTGAGCTCTTCTATAATAAGAATGTATATTTGTTCTTTCTTGTTTGTATCTCAAATTTTTGGACTAGAAGTTAGTGAATTGGCAATTAAATGTTTCCTTTTTTCTTGACACCATACAGAAACAATATAATATTGTTCGCGTGCTCATAAATGCATCTTTGGTGCTATCTGACTAAGAAACCATTACATCTCTTGAGATTAATTTTTATATATATATATATTAAAATATCACATCATATGATTATAGTGACGCGGCTGATACCAGTACTAGCAGTAAAACAAGTTAAACAACCAACACACGCAAACAAGTAGTTTGCATTAATTAACGTTACTCCCTTTGTTTTTTTTCTTTCTTTGTTTTTTTGGAAGGTAAGTTAGTAGTATATATTAAATACAAAATATTACAATCCAATTGCCAAAGAGGCCCACGATTGTGAACTAGTCAGCAAGCGCTGTAAGGAGTTACAACCCAAGAGTGAAGAAAAAGTAGAAGCCACGGGCCCAAGCCCCAACAATATAGCACAAGACATTCTTAGTCTAGGTGTCCTGTGGACTAAGGCAGCGTATTTTCGGATTTAGTTTAGTATTTTCGAAGTTATTCCGATGGTGCGCGTAAAAGAAGGAAAAATATTAAGTGCTTGTGAGCATTTAAATTTAAGTTTATAGATTTTTCCTCCCCTTCAATTTAGCAAAGGCCTAAATTAAAATTTCAAAATGCGAACTTTCTGTCAAAAATTTATAAACTCAAATAGTGAAATGGTCATGTGGTACAACATTTCTTTGAATTTCAGTGAGTCCATTGATCTGTTTAATGCTTAAAAAACAATTGAGTCCTTTCCTCACTATAGTGATAAAGGAATTTCAGTGAGGCAAACGTATTTTTTATTGTCCAAATTACTTTTGTGGGTTGGGCAACACACACATGGTGGGCTAGGCCTTGGGGGTAGACCTTAGAAAAGCACATTGGCGCATGAGTAACTAGGCTTGATATATATGGTGCCGTTTGGTAGAGCATCAACAACAGACGATGGAGTCTCCAAGCATTTAACAACCTAATGTATAATCACACTTTTCTCGAGCACGACTGGGGCTTCCATAGTATTTAGGGTTTGCGCTTCGACGTTCTTAAACCCTAATCGCAAGAGAGAATCAGATCTTGTCGTGCAAAAATGGTGAATCCTGACAACTCTCTCCATCTTATTTTTTTTTTCTTTTTCCATAGTGTGTATATTTTTCGTCAATCTTTGTTTCTAGTGTTTGGTGTGTCGATGACATTTCTCAAACTTATCACAATTTGTTACCTTCAGTGTATGATGAAAGAGCCTTGCTTGATTGGTAGTTACATGGTAGTTTCTTGAGGTTGCCTGTTTATAATTAAGTTTGGTCAAATGTGGAATCCTTTAATCCTTTTCATGTACTAAAGAATTGGATGACATTCATGAAGGAATCCTATGTAGTTCTTTGGGTTTTTTTATTTTTTAAATTCCCTGGCAAGTCTTGAATTTACTCTTGAGGGCTTGATAATAATGGATCTGAGTGTGGTTGAAAGTAAATCTATTGCTGATCAATGTTTGAATCCTTTTCGTGTACTAAAGAATTGGATGACATTCACGATGGAATCCTATGTAGTTCTTTGGGTTTTTTATTTTTTAAATTCCCTGGCATGTTTTGAATTTACTCTTGAGGGCTTGATAATAATGGATCTGAGTGTGGTTGAAAGTAAATCTATTGCTGATCAATGTTTGAGTTGGGTCGAGTGTAAATCTATTGCTGAACAATGTTTAGCATATTATTGAGCGAGTAGTTGTTTTCACTTGTGATGCCAAAACTGATTCCCCTGATTTTTTTTTTTTGTATGGCTGTCACAGTAGTTCTTTAAAGCATGTGAAGATTGCTTAGATATTCTTTATTAAAATGCTTTGCTAAATTTACATATAATATCTCAGTTACCGATGCGTTGGGTTGCTGCTTTAGATTTGGTATCTGGTTTAGATGATTAGAGCTAATTTTTAGTGCACACCTTAGTATCTCTGATATCATTCTGTTAATGATGAAAGCTGCAGATGCCAAAACCGAACAACTTGAGTAACCACCTTCCTAACAAAATGATTAGTTGTTTTACAGGCTGTATCTCCAATAATCAATTATTATTATTTATTTATTTATTACACATGTTTTCTCTTTCTTTAGATTAGTCCCCCATCCCTTGTATGTCCTGGATCTGCTAGTAACTCTTTTCCAAAAACTTTTCCGTGCATGTGTGGTTGCTAGATTGAGTGATTCCTGCAGTGAGAATTTTCATCCGGCGACGTGGATAATTGCTGTAACACAAGAAATTTACCATAAGCCTGACTTGATCAATGAATTCTGAGTTTTGCTTTCTTTTATTGTTCTCTTTGCAGACAAGAATCTTAGCAATGAATTCATCACATATCCTCACTGCAAGTTAATGAGGAAATGATGGCGGATGTATAGTAGTGATCTAAATAAACTGCTGCAGGAGCTTGACTTATTCTTTTATTATTATTATTATTATTATTTCTCTTTCTTTCAGTAAATATACAGGAGTCCCTATATGCTATCCTTTTTCTCTAATCGCTGCCTAAGAGATAATGTGACCGCTGCTCAAACTATTTTATTAACTTTCCTCTAATTACCCAAAGTACTCTTCCGTGAAACATATCTTTCCTGCACTAAACCCTTCTCTCTAGTCTCTCCCAGTCTCTATCTCTTAGAATGTCTCTCTGACTCTTATCTTCTCTCATAGGTTACTCTTATTTCTCTTTTGTAGTCATTCTCTCTTTGGCTCTCTCTCTTCTCTCACTTCATAGCAAAAATACATAATTTTCATTGGAATACATAGCCCTGTATGTGGAAAATCAATGTCAACTCTTTCTTTCTCTCTCTACATATGTGTGTTTTAGAGCTGATTTATCAGCATGTACTGAACTCTGTTTCTATCCCTCTTAAAAATATATTTGCCATATTTGTGCTGTTAAGGGCTAAAATTAATTAATTATAAAAGGGCTAAAATTAATCTATGCATGTAGTCGATTATGAAGGATAAGCAGCTATTGAAGCTCAACTGTGTTTGATTGGGGCTCAACTATTGGAGGTCTCATCAATGCATGTGTTCGATTTGGGCAGACTGATTTCCTGCGGCAATAAGGTAAGAAATTTTGATTTTCTGCACAAGATTTTCTATTTCTCTGTCTGGTTGTTTTGAAATGAAATGGAAATTGTGCTAGATGATGTTTATGGTTTTTGTATGAACTCTTTGCATTTGAAGAGTTGAAAGAGAAAGATTGAGGGGAAAAAATGATAGATCTGGTTTTCCTTTATGTTAAATGTAATTTACACTTTCATACATACATATTTCATGTAATGTATCTACTATAAACAAGTGCAACATTTAGGAGTTACCAATCTCGGAAGAAAATTTATCTCATCATATGTGACTTTACGACACGTGTGTTTTGATGCTTTGGAATAATGCCAAGAGAAGCTATTCTGATGGTGAGGATAATAGATATTTTGTTAGGATAAAGTCTTGTACATGGAGTTCACCTCCTTTTATCATGGTAAAAGAAGCATACACCAAGGAAGCTTAGTGCCTTGCAATCGACATGATCTGCTAATAAGTAATGCAGGTCAAAAGCATACACCATTGGTTTCCCGGTTTTGTATCTAATAAAAGAAAAATTAGAACTTCTTGAGTAGCCTTAAAAGGTATGTATGGCAAATTAATTTTAGTATGTATATATAAGTTCTAAAATTAATTAATTATCTAATCAGGAATTATATATATATATATATATATATATATATATATATTTAGTATGTATATATAAGTTCCGGAATATATATACACACACAAGTAGATCAC